TACCTCCAGTGGCACAATGAAAGAAAGTGGGTTGCCCCACCCTGGCAAATACCTAAGGCTCTGCCCCTTACAACATAACAGGTATGCCAAGACAAAGATATATGGCCCAAAGGAAAGAACAGATCAAAACTTCAGAAAAAGAACTAAGGGACAAGGAGATAGGGAACCATCAAATGCAGAGGTCAAAACACTGGTAATCAGTATGTTCACAGAAATGATTGAGTATGGACACAAAATAAAGGAAGAAGTGAAGGCTATACAAAGTGAAATAAAAAAATACGCAGGGAACCAACAGTGAAGGGAGGGCACTCAAATCAATGATATGGAACAGAAGGAAGAAATAAACATTCGACCAGAACAGAATGAAGAAACAAGAATTCAGAAAAATGAGGAGACCCTAAGGACCCTCTAAGACAACTTTTGAATCATAGGGGTGCCAGAAGGAGAAGAGGAAGAGCAAAAAATTGAAAACTTATTTGAAAAAAGTAATGAAGGAAAACTTCCACAATCTGGCAAAGGAACTACACATGCAAGTCCAGGAGCTCAGATAGTCCCCAAAGATGTTGGACCCAAGGAAGAATGCTCCAAGACACATCATAATTAAATTATCCAGATTAAAGATGAGGAGAGAATCTTAAAAGCAGCAAGAGAAAAGAAGACAGTTACCGGCAAAGGAGTTCCTATATGACTAACAGTGATTCCTCAAAAGAAACCTTGCAGGCAAGAAGGGGCTGGAAAGAAGGATTCAAAGTCATGAAAAACAAGGGCCTAAACCCAAGATTCCTCTACCCAGCAAAGCTATCATTTAGAATGGAAGGACAGATAAAGTGTTTCCAGATAAGGTAAAGGTAAAGGAGTTCATCGTCACCAAACCCTTATTATACGAAATGTTAAAGGGACTTACCTAAGTAAAAGAAGATCAAAACTATGAACAGTCAAATAATAACAAACTCACACTATCAACGACTGAAACTAAAAACAAAATCAAAAACAAATGAGCAAACAACAGGAACAGAACCACAGAAATGGAGATCACAGGGAGGGTTATCAGCAGGGAGGGGAAGATGGGAGAATGGGGGAAAAGGTCCAGGGAATAAGAAACATAATTAGTAGGTACAAAATAGACAGGGGAAGGTTAAGAACAGTATAGGAAATGGAGAAGCCAAAGAACTTATATGTACCACCCATGGACATGAACTAAGGAGAGGGGAATGCTGGAGGGAGATGGTGTGCAAGGCAGAGAGGGATAAAGGAAGGAAAAAATGGGACAACCATAACAGCATAATCAATAAAATATACTTTAAAAACTACCTCCACCCTACCCGGCCTCCTCTTACAGTATCCAGGAGCGCCCTTTACCAAGGAACTGGTGTGGGTCTGAGGCAGTGGCCCTGCTGGTCTGGAAATACAAGGAGGAGTGCTGGGCTTGGGGCAGGAGAGGCGAGTTGGGGTCTGATCCAGGGGTCTCTCCTGGTAATTCTTCACTGAGGGTGGGCTCAATATCTCTGCTCTGGCCTCTAAGTGTGTGATCTGTGTCCTGGCCCCTCAGTTCTGGAGGGGAGCCCCTCTGTTGTGCTCTGAGTGATGAAGACTCTCAGAAGTGGGGTACAAAGGAGGAAGGGTACTCAGGGATTCCACAGAGGGAGTTGAGGAAGTAATTTGGGAGTGAGGCTTATGAAGGAAGACACGGGAAAGAGGAGCACCAATAACAAGGTGGGAATAGAATGGCCAAGAACCCCATGTCCCATTTTGTAGTCCCAGGAAGAAGATGCCAAAGTGGTGGCAGCTGGCACAGACACAAAAGCAGGGAGCTGGGGGTTTAGTCTCAAATAGTGGTGAGATTCCTGTCCCTCCTTACTGTCTTCACCTGGCTGCTTTGAAGCATGTGCTGTTTACATGGCTGATATAAAACTCCTTCCACCTCAGGTGGAGATGAATGAGAGGTAGGAAATGACCAGGGTATGAATGGGCCTGATGGCCGGCCTGGGGTCCCCACTCACAGGGAGGAAACAGGTAAGGAAAATGCACACTTGGGTCTAGGGGCTGATGCTAGTCTCTGGGTGGATCATGTTGCTGGAGGGAGGAAGGCAGAGAATGGGCTGAAGGGGCAGGAGGTAAAGGAAAAGAGGGTGGTCAGAGGGAGGCAGGGAAGATGTGGACAGGATTTCTCTCCTTCCAAGGAGATAAGAAAGGCAGAGCCAGGCCATGATCAGCTGCAGAAATCAAGGGCTGGGGCTGACCTCTGTTAGGGGAAGAATCCATGTCTTGTGTCATCCCAGTACCTTTTTCTCTGGAAATAGCAAATCTGCCAGCAAAGACTTTCATGCCTCAGTGTCTCCTCCATCCCCAACACACTTGCAGTTGACCGTTGAACAACATGGGCTTGAACTGAGCCAGCCAACTTATATGCAGATGTTTAAAAGTAAATATATACAGTACTGTAAATATACTACTTTTCCTTATGATTTACTTAATGACATTTTGTTTTCTCTAGCTTCCTTTATTGTAATAACACAAAATATAATACATATAACATATAAAATCTTTGTTACTCAACTGTTTATGTTATGGGTAAGGCTTCTAGTCAATAGTAGTCTATTATTAGTTAAGTTTTGGGGGAGTCCAAAGTTATATTTATATTTTTAACTGTGGAGGGCATTGGTACCCTAACCCCTGCATTGTTCAAGGGTCAACTGTGCTTTGTGTTCTCCCAGGGCAAGGTCCCTGCCTTGTTGTTCTTTGCCATCCTTTGCCCACCGCAGCCACCATGAGGCCTGGTGCTGAGCAGTCACATTGCTTATTGAACTGAACTCATGGCAGACGGGAACTTCCAATGGATCAGACGGCTTGGTCAGTAAGAGCTCTGGGTTGGGCCAGCTCGTGTTTCTCATGGAAGCCAAGGAACAGAACAAGAAATAAAGCTGACATTTCTTCAGAGCCTATTCAACTCCAGACACATTCTCTGGTTTGATGTGTCATCACCATTTTCCAATCGGTGAAGCTGAAAACAAAGTTCACATCGCTGGCCATTACCTCGGAGTCAAGGTTTCCATCTTCACTGACCAGCTTAAAACTCCAAGGCTGAGCTCTTTTCAGAGGTCGGGGGGAACTTCAGGGAATGAAGCTAAGGGTGACACTGGGAGGCCAGGGGCCTGCCTAGAGACTGAGCGGGGCTCCCCAGGCCTGGCCTATGGAAACCAAGGCTCAGTGACAGCCTGGAAGCTCCCTGGTATCTCTCTGTTGGGTGCCTTCCTAGGAAAGAGGAAAGAGGAAGAGCGGGACAGAATACCAGCATCTTCTCAGGACAAGATGAGAAGGAAGGGTCCCTCTGCTGTCAAGGGAACAGGAAGGGGATGTGACCTGTGGCTGAGTTCTGCTCTCTTGGAAGCCAGAAAACTGACACCCCAAAATAACCCAAGACTGGAAGACCCTGGTGCCCTTACCAGGGCCCTTGAGAAGTTCTGTCTCTGGATTAGATTTCCCTCCAGATACCCTAAACTGGAGCTGACATCTTCCATTCTGAGCTAAAAATTTCTGTCTTCTCACATGTAAATGGGGAGAATAATAGCTATTTCCTTTGTGTTTGCTTAAATGTCACCTCAGTGAGACCCTCTATGACCTCTGTTTCAAATTGTAACCTTCCTGCCACGGGCTTTCTTGATCCCTTCCCTGCTTTGTTTTTCTTTGTAGCACCACTCACTTTATAATATACTGTGTTACCTATCTATTTACCTCCTACCTGTCTATTTATTTTTGTGTTCCTCACTGCTAGTGACAGGGCAGGGTCTCTGCCTGTTTTGTCCACTGAGTCTCTAGCACCTAGAGCGGTGCCAGGCCTATCAGAGCACTCCATAGATAGTTGTTGAATGAGTGAGTGAAGGATGGGTAGATGGCATTGCTGTATGTAAAGTATTCAGTAGGACACCAGCACCTTATTAATATGGCTGCTGCCACTGCTGTTTGTCAGATGTGATTTGTGCAGACTGCTTTCCCACCTGTATAACAAGGAGCTTGAACCACTAGTGCTCTCTGAGCTCCCGTCAGTCTCCAAAAAAAAAAAAAATCTGCAGTTCTCTGACCTTTACACCTCCAAATGCTCAGTGAGGCAGGTTTTCCCACGGCTCACCTCGCAGCTCTCAGCAGCAGCTCCGCCAGGTTTGGAGATGCCGAACACTCCTCTCATGGCAGTTCTAGTTCTTGTGACCCTGAGAGTCAGGATGGGGCAAGGTGTGGACCATGAGTCAGCCCAATACTTCTTGGAACAGTTTCCGTTCAGATATTTATAGGTTTTATTTTAATGGGCTTTAAAGTGTTGTTTCATAGCATTTTATTGTTTCAATAGACACAATTCATTATGTACATAATTAGAGGTCGTTTGATTTAAATTTCTTTGTTAAGAATTTTTGTAGAAATAAAATTCAGAAAAAACAATTTGCCAGTCCACATGCCCTGATTTAGGATGTGGACACGTGGTCCTTGGAAATGAAGGTTCACGCTGTCCTGCCCTGGCTAGGGCTCTGGTCCCTGGCCTTGGATACCCCCAGATGGGGACAGGGTCATAAGTTAGGTGCCTGAGAACACCTGTTTTAGGGGCTAAGGTCCACTGCTTTTAGATTGTCTTCATAGGTCCTGAGTTCTTTCTCTCAGAATCTCCCTCTGAAAACTGCGTTCTGGAACCCTGGGTTTTCCCACAACTGACTGACTCTGTGGGAGCAGTTTCAGGAGTAAAGTCTACACTCATTTGGTATTCGCTGAGTAACTGGGATGGCCTCGGAAGAGGGGGAGGGGTGAGGGACAGGTCTGGCTAGTTCTGCCCGATTGTTTATACTTGGGATTACCTCACACCGTCCCAACCTCCCAACGGCTTCCCCACCCTTCTGGTGGGGGCTGGCCCTCGGCCCTCCAGCCCCCTTTTCCTCACATGCCCGGGAAGCCAGGGGCCAACATGGATCTTCCCATCGATATCAGCTGAGTCTGGAAGCCTCACACCTTGGGAGACCATGGAAAGGGACAGCTACCCGGTGAGTGTCCCTGGGCCAGGGGCCAGAGCCTCCTGGCGCTGAGGAAGCAGGGATAGGGCTGGGAGATAGGTGGGGCACTGCTACCTGTGGGCCCAGGTGTGGGGGGGAGAATTGAATGTGCCTTTTCTACTTTGAAGCTACTTGGAATCAAGACTGCTTGGCCTCCTTTTATCATGGTTCCTAGGGGATACTTTTCTAGGAAGGAACAAGAAGCTGATAGGTTTTAAGGTCTTGTCAGGAATCACCCCAGGCTTGTGTGGCTGAATACTGGGCTTCTGCTCTCTGTCCTGTGAGCTCCCCAGGAAGGAAATTTATGCTGGTAGTGGTCACTTCTACTGGTTTGAGAATCAGGGAACTTTAGCATTTTAACTGGGCTTCTAGGTTATCTTCGCTATGCCCTCACTAGACTCATAAATCATCCTTACAAATGTCACTGTGTGCATTTACGATCAGGGGGATTTTTCAATCTCTCTTGGTCACTTAGTCTTGCATCTATCCACAACTCCTTCTGCCACAGTTCATGTTTCTGTCCTCTTCTTCTGCTCTTGGTGGTGGTAGAGAGCCACTGAAGGTGTTCTGTGGAAAAGCCAGTCACATACACATGACGGCTTCCAAAGATTTTGTTCAACTGTGCCTCAGCTTTCTTTTCTTAGGGGACATTCCTTCAGGCTCTAACTTCTCCTTAGGTCTTATTTTCTCCTTCTTTTCATCTTGTCTTTCTCTTTACTGAAGTGGTAGAATCTGGGACTCTGGGAAGAATGGGCAATGCTGGTTTTGAGAAGGATCAGCTTAGCCTATGTTCTTGCATGTGGTCCATTCTGAACCCCAGATGTGTTTCTGTAACTTTTACCATCATCTCCCCCATCATTCATCAGCCCCATCTTGACTTTTATTTCCCAGGCTTTGTCCCCTGCTCCCTGCTCTGGTCTATTTGGTTCATGTCTCCATCCACCAAGGTCATTTGATCCCAGGCCTCTGGGGCACATTGGCACTTATAGTAAGCAAAAAGTGTGATGTACAAAGAGAGTGTTTTGTCTGGGGCATGGGGACACTGAAGCCACAGTCACAATCATGTTCCTTGGTAACTTGGTGGGAATCTAAATGTGGTGGTGTCTAAAAACAGAGAGTGAGAACAGCTGAGCTGTCTGGAGGGTGGTAGGGCCAGTTCTTGGGGCAGGGTGACAGAGGGATGTCAGCCTGGGAAGCCCTTCTGTCCAGAGTCAGGGACCAATATGGAAGGACACAGGTGCGACACAGGGTTGAAGAACAGTCTTTCCATTATTGGTGGAATTAAGTGTCAAGTTGTGTGGTTGGTGCCATGTTAATTCTGGGAGACTGTCTTAACTTACACTGAAATGAAAGAAGTGAATCACTACTTCCTTGTTTAAACTTCTTAAATTTAACCCCTTGTTTAGGGCAGAACTGCTAAAATAGTGAGCTTGTGGTAGGGGCAGGGAGAGCTGCCTCAATCATATTTGCCACAGGTTTCTTAAAATTGATGAAATTGAATAGGAGCTGAGGGGGAGAACTGGTCCTCTAAGGCCACATCTTCTCCCTAAGGGCTTCATTGTTGTTCAGCTCTATAAAATTGTGAGGAAGATGGTGTCCCAGTGAAGCTTCTATGTGAGCCGGTTGGGTCTTCAGGCATATCTTGGAAAAGGGATGGAAAACTTTCTCAGCTTCTCTGTATTCAAAACAGGAGCTGCACAATGTGGTGGACAGAACACTGATACAGTTCCTGGTTAACTGTGACTTTGGGTATCTGTAAAGTCAAATAAAAATCACATCTACTTGAAGGAGTCTTAGAGTAGTTTCACATGTAAGGCTCCTTTAGAATAGCACCTGCCATAAACAGAAATAGAGATAGAGAAGATATATTTAAAGAGAGTTAAGATTTATTGTTATCCTCATCATCTATCATCTAGTCTTGACTCCTCTAAAATTTTCACAAATATCTTCTCCTCTGCATGCCTAAGTTTTTCTGCCTACCAAGTCAAAGTGTTGGACAAATTGCCCCTGGAAGCCCCTTTGGGGTCCCATGACAGTCTCTCAAATTACATAGAATGGGATTACAGGTGCACCACACTGGATAGGCATATCTGTTTTTGAGAAATAGTAGGTATTTCATGTTTTTTCAAAATTAGTCACATTCTCCATGCTTAAAGACAGACAATGTTTATTAAAGAAAGACTGAAGTGGAGTCACTGATAAAAAGCAATAATCCTTTGCAGAATTAATTTTTTTTATACTGGCTCTTAAATTGGAACAAGTTCTGACCCTGCCTGAGACCACAGATGCTGTGGACAGGACAGTGGAGGGAGGCCTCAGGAATGGTTCAGATGAGGTGCCCTCCCGGGAGAGGGCTGGGCTGGCTCCCAAGATGGCAGACCAGTAGGCTCAGGTCTCTCTGCCATCCCCCAGACTTCATAGTGCAGGCACCTTTAGGATCCCTTGCACCTGCCCTTCGCTCCTGCAGGCAAGCAGCTGTCACCTGAGGCCTCTGTTTCATGTTGTCATTGGTGCTAAGCAGACTTCCACCTGGGTCCTCCCTGCATTGTTCCTGTGACTAGGTAAACGTGAGTGTGACTGTGTGGGAGTGTGTGTGTGGGGGGACCAGGCTGGGGCACTGGGCAGGAAGGCCAACTGATGTAACAATAGCCACTTAGCTTAAGTGTCTTGTTTTGGCAAAACAGCTTCCTCTTGGTACACTAACAATGTGAAACTGGAAAAGCTGGCATTCGTGCTGCCTGTCACCACCAGAGCCAATAAGCAGAGACAGAGACTGAATCTTTATTGGTACTTTATTCAGATGGCTGACAATCTGAGAAGACAGAGGGTTATGTACCCTAAAAGACCATCTTACATGTCATTTCAAGAAAGCAGGGGAAAGGTGTAGGTAAGCGGTTTGGAATTCAGGGGGAAAAAAAGTGTAGGTGAATGATTTGGAACTCAGGAAAAAGGTTAATCAGATAAAAGCTGCAGTCTGGAAATTCCCCTAGCATCCTTTCATCTACTGACCTGTTGACATGTGATTGTTTATCTGTGTCCTGGGCATCTGTGTGCTGGGCGATTCTTTATCTGTGTCCTGTGTCTTGGGCGGTGGGATGTCTCTCCCTGGAACACAATGGCTCAGATACCATCTTGATTGCTTACAGTCCCCCTGGGACACAAAGATCAAATTCCTAGTGGTCTTCTGGCATCAGGGTGGGTCTTATCTTCAGTTCCTAAAACAATACCTCTTTACATGCATTCATTACTAAGCTTACTAATTATTACCTAAAACTAAGATTTTCCAACTCTTGAGTTCCCCCATCACATGGAGGTGGACCATGCCCAGCCAGATGTGCAGGATGGGGGATAGGATGGAATCCAGTCCAGGAACCCTGGATGCTGGGCCTTGTCAGCCAAGCAGATGAAGTCATATTTGAACACATATTTTTCTATTTCTAGCCCAGCATCTTTAACAAACAAACAGAGAGACAAACAGTCACCATCAGAGCTAATGGTCACCAAGGCCTTACTTTACATGTACCATCTACCACTACAGTGCTATGAAGCAGGGTGACTGGCTCACTGTACAGTTAAGGAAACCGAGGTATAAAGAGGTTATATCACTTGCCCAGAGTCACCAGCTGTCTCGGAGTGTCCTTGATGACTGTGACACTGCTGCTCCCATCCATCAGGTTCTGCCTGGTCCTGGCAGGTCACTGGACCCAACTCTGGTTCCCACTGGCAAGTTCAGCAAGACCAAGATCCCTGTGGGAACCCCCAGTCCCATTCCTAAGCTCCCTGTGGTGCTCCCACGGTGCAAGTGCCAAGTTCTCAGCCACGGCACAAATGCATAACGAGTACTTGCACCTGGGTTCAGGGAAAAGCCTGCACCAGGAGGCTCTTGCTGCCAACCTGTGAAGGCAGGGGACTTGGATGCACACAGCCTTGGGCCAGATTCCTGACTATGTGATTCTGAGCGATCTAAGCTCTGAGCTGGGTTTGCTCATCGTAAAAATGTGCTTCTAAAAGTGTCAATCTCTCAGGGATGGAGTGAGGACCTCGTGAGGACCTCATGAGGCCAGAGGCATGGATGTTTATTGTAAACTGTCAAGTGTTACACCTATATAAACTATTATCACTTTATCAAATTGAACAATGAGAATTCCCTCCCTGAGGCTGGGAAAGACTATGAGAACATAACAGGGACAAAGGGTAGGCCAGTCGAATGCCACAATGCCACTGTCCTGGGCAGATGCCAAGGCTTGGGCTCCCACTTGTGGGAAGGCCAGGGCTTGTCCCTCTTTCTGAAGGATTTCAACCTGGCCTTTGTCCAGCACCTCCTTTTCTCCCCAAAATGAGCTCATACTACCCTTAGCCCTTTGGTCACACCTCACGGCTGTTCAGTCTCAGCACAATTGGTGCTGTTGTAGCAGTGCAAAGGGGGAGAGAAATGACTCATTCCTGCCCTGCTGCTATGTGCCAGGCATGGGCAAGCGTTCCCTGTTTATTTCATTGAGGTCTCAAAATTGTTAGTCCTATTCTACAGATTAAGAAAAAGGAACGTCATGTCGCTTTCCCACGGTCATGCTGCTAGGCCTAGGGTTGGGACCAAGGTCTGCCTGCCTCAAGTGCTGTCAACTGGTGTACCCTGTGCTTCAGCATAGCCTCACTACTTCTCCTTGCCCCTCCCCAGCCCTGTTCCCCTTGAGCATTCCAGCGGCTACTCTGTTTTCATTTTGTGGAAATGAAACAATGTGTATGAGGGGGTATCTGAGTTCTGGTTAAGCAGTGGCAAGCAGCTAAACACACTTAACCGTGCCCTGCTCATCTAGCTGGGGCATCCACTGATCAGCTCCAGTGACTTCCTATGGAAGTCACTCCTGGTCCCTGCCTCTGGCAAGCTGAGTGTGATCAGGGACTGGGAATTCTTCCTTGAATTCACCCCACAGACTCCAGAAAAATGAGGAAGTGACCAAATCAATTACCTCTGACTCTTAGAAGAGGGAATTAAAACAAAAACAAAGCAAGCAAACAAACAAACAAAAAACTGCGCCTGCCTGGTTGGGATGATGGTATTGACTTGGGCTGGATATTTTAATGAGAACTTCTTAGTAACTGGTCTGCTTAGTGATAATGTCAAATGCTTTTAAGCACAATTGAAGGTGAGGGAGGCACAGGCAGAAGGACCAGAGGTCTAGATCCTGTGTCCTCCATGCACCCCTCCAGACGGTGTCCCCATTGCAGAGCTCCCAAGCACAGGTGTGCCCCCCTCCTCACCATTCCTGCTACTCCCAGGAGTCCTGCGCTCTGAGCAGCCATGCAGTATGATTTCAGCAGAAATTATAGTGAGGGTCAGATGTGGCCCCAGGGCCAGGTCAGTTCCCAGCTTCCCCAGATGCTCTGGAGACTTCTAGAGGGAAGTTAAGAGGCAGAAATGGTGTGAAGGAGTGGGGCGAGATCTCTGTAAGGAGCCAGAGGGAGGTGAGAAGATGCCTGAACTGGTGACAGGGGCTGAGGGTCTTGCAGACCAGGGCTTCACAGCCGGCAGAGACTGCTCAGGCACTTCTCCTAGGCCCAGCTGCCCAGTGGTTCCCTCTTCCAGATTTAGACTACCCAAAGGCTCAGGGTTGCCAGGAAGCAACAAGGCTGGTGCTCATTGATTGCCTGCTATGACCAGCTGCTGCATTATCTCATACATCCCTCCCCTACAAGGCAGCAAGCCTTAGTGGTTAGAGCATGGCCTCCAGAACCTGACTTCCCGAGCTCGCATCTTGGCTCTGCTAGCTTAGTCAGTTGCTTAGTCTCGCTGCGTGTTTCCCCCTGTGCAAAATGGGTATAATGAAAATTTCTACCTCATTGGGTTGTTCTAATGATTAAATAAGTAAATATACATAACACACTTAGTGCAGGCCAAGTTCTCTATGACTGTACATTAAAGCACTAAATATAATTATGACTATATATTAAAGTACCATGTATAAATTAATATACTAAGTACTAATATAAATTAAGGATCTTGCCCAAGAGTGGTGGAATCATACCCCAGTCCACCCCTTCCTCCCTCTTGCATCTTGCCTTTCCAGTGTCCCTGATGCACTGGGGTGTGCCTGTGTGCATGTGTGAATGTGCATGTGTTCACTCGTGTGAATTCAGGGGCTACTGAGAATGGTGGGTACAAGGCAGGTCAGGGCTTTTCCTAAGCAGCACTTTTTACACTTTTTGATGACAGCTCATAGTAAGGACAATATCTTAAAAGCTAACACACATTCACAAAAGAAAGGGGCAGGAAGGGAAGGGGGCAGGAAGGTAAGAGGGCAGAAAAGCCAGTTACTTTCCCCATAGGCGACCACATCTCTTTGAGCGACCTTCAGAGTCAGGAGTCAGTCCAGCATCCTCTTCTTTGAGGGTCCTTAGACATGTGTAACTGAAGCAGGTGCCCCCAAGCCCCAGGCAGATGGACCACTGCCCTCTGCTCACCTCTGCAAGTCCCTGTGACAGGAAAAGACTGTCGGGAGCTGGGGACAGTAGGATCTTTGAACTTCATTCCATCCTTGGACACTCGTCTTCTCCAGTGTTTTCCTGTCTGGTGGCTCTGCTCACTGCCTAGCACTTGCCTTGGAATGTTTCTCTCCTAGCTCAGCAGGGCCGACAGCCGGGTGGGCTGGCAGGGGTGCAGCCTAAGGGATGCCTTCATTCTGCTTTCAGAATGCTTCCCCCGCAAGGACGTCTCCAGCCCGGGCAGCCCCCGGCCGGGCAGCCCCCGGCCGGGCAGCCCCATCCCGGGCATCACCTTCCAGGTCATCATCTGGCAGGTCGTCGTCTGCTAGGTCAGCCTCCACAGCATCCTCTCCAACGAGGATGTACCTTGTTAGAGCGACACCAGTGAGGGCCCCACCTGTCCGGACATCTCCTGCCACATCAGCACCAGCCACCAGGGCCACTGGGGAGACCCCAGGTAAGAGGGATGCTGCAGGGAAAGCAAGAGGAGCAGGGAGAAGTCCAGGGGTTGAGGGAGCCTTGGCATTGGCACTCTCTGCTCCTCATCTCCTCCCTGGATAATGATGTGTGGGAAGGAGAGGGAATGGTCAGGGGTAGCAGTAGAGGTCCTAGGGAGGTAGGGGCAGGCATTGGGGCAAATGGGGGAGAGGCTAAGAAACCGGACCAACAAAGTAGGTGTCAGTTTGGAGGCTGCACAGTCTGGGTCAGAGTGCAGACCTCGAGGGCACAGGCTCCCTGCTAGGCTGCACAGGGCAGGACCTCACTCCCACAGCCTCACCCTTCCCCGCTGCTGCCCTGCTCTTAGGTGTCAGCTTGCCCAAGTTCACCTGGCAGGAGGGCCAGAAGAGGCTGCCGCTCATCGGATGCATCCTCCTCCTCATTGCCCTGGTGGTATCACTCATCATCCTCTGTGAGTTTCATGGAGGGAGCAGGGGTGGTTCTGGTCCTTGCCTGTGTGGAATAGGGTCTGAGGATGGGGCACACAGCAGGAAGACACAAGGCAACTATGGCAAGTGGCCTTGGACCATGTTGCCCCTAGGTCCTTGTGGAAGGATGGGGTTAAGAGTGTGGGAGATCAGAGAAACCTGGGTTTGAGTCCCATCTGTGCCTCTTACTGTGCAGCTTACCCGAGCAGATTAGTTTACCACTCAAAGCTCAGTTTCTGCATTTTCAAATGAGATTAAATTCATTCATTCATTCATTCATTCAAACTTATTATATGCCCAGTAAACCTCATAAAGACTTCTCAGGGTTATGAGGAATAAATGAAATAATGGCACAATGGCTGGCACAAAATTCCACTCTAAAATGCTAGTTATTAAAAACAGACATAAAAAACCTGATTAGAAAAAGTTTCTCAGACATTTTCTGTCAATGAGATCAGAGAATCAGGCACCCACAATTTCCCCCCTTTCTTTGGAAAAGATCCTCAGGACATGTCCTTGGGCTTTCTGTCGGGGAGCCCACTGTGAACCCAGTTCAATGGGAGGGAACAAAATGGGAACACACATCATACCACCTGCCCTCAAGGAGAATATTGTCTCGTGGCGGGGCATAGCTGGAATGAAAGAAAGCCAAATGCATTTGAGTGGGACCATTAGAAAGAGGTGACAGCTGTGTGGCCTGGGGAGGCAGAGGCTCATGAAGGTCATGAGGCCAGACAAGGACCTGGAACATGGGAGAGCATCTGGCACCAGGCCTCTGACCAGCTTCAGGAAACCTGGGATGACCAGCTTCAGGAAACCTGGGGCAGGTTGGCCGGGTGGCATGAGGAGAGAGGAGGGACCTGATAACCATTTGGGGGCCTGGGGGCTGCTGTTTGCTTGGGGGTGGCATGACTAGGTTATAGAAAGCTGCAAATGCTGGGCTGAGGGGTAAGGATTCCATTAAAGAGTCAGCACAATGTGGTGAGCACAGGGTAAGGTGACCCTATAGAAATACCTAGCAGCATGAGTGTTTGAGAAAGAGTGTCATGCTGGAGGAAGCTGTGTGCTGGTTGAGAACACAGGTTCAGTACTGCGCAGAGCTGCTGAAGCACCCGGCTCTGCTGCCTGCCAGCTGTGGCACCTTAGCAAGTTCATTGGTTTCCTTGAGCCTCCCTTCCCCACTTGTCTGACAAGGTGGAGGCTTGTTGTGATGCATATAAAGGCCTGCCAAATGGTATCCATGTGAACCTCCTTTGAGACTCACTGCCCTCCTTTCCCTCCCATTCCAACCCAGGGAACCCTCCAGGGAAAAGCCCACAGTCCACTGAGAGCGATAGGAAATAACCTGTGGGGGGTGAGATGGCATCTGAGGGCAGGCTTCCTGACTGCTTATAGCTCTCAGCAAGGTTCACAACATTCCCTGAAGTCCTCTGATTCTTAGGCCTCCCAGCACCAGGGAGGTGGTCACTGAGCAGCTACATCAGGGGGTCAGGACTAGAACCTGAGCCCTGACTCACCATTCAAAGCTCTCCCCACTACACATCAAGTGGCAGGCTCAGTGTGCAGGTCATTGCGGGGGTAGGGGGGAGAACCAGGGCACAGAGGATAGGGACCCGTCCAAGAGGTTAGGAGTAACCAGTGCCTGAACCTGAAAGGAGCAGTCACATAAGGGTGGCCTTCATCTTGGGTGACAGAGAATGGTGGGGCCACGAGGAGAAGTGGAGGGTCAGGGCCAGGAGTCAGTTTAGAGGACAGGCAGGGTGAAGAGTCAGAACTCAGGTTTCTTTGGCATCCAAAGGGAAGTATCTCCAGGCCAAAGGGATGATGGTTCATAGTCTGGAAAGAAATAGGTGTTAGAGACACAGGGAGTCATGAGGCTGATTTTCACAGATGGTTTGTAAAGCTTGTACATTGGGCATTAGCCATCTAGAGTTGCTTTTTGAGTGGGAAGGCATTTAAAAGCATAAAGACGAGTGATGAGGCAAAAACTGAGTATAGAAGACATCCCTTTTAGGGAAGAGGAGAAGGAAGAAAATCCAGGAGCTTCTGAGGCTGGAAGGACCACCTTGGAGAAAAAAGAACAGGGAGTGGTTGCAGGTGTGACTGTAGATTTAGAAATTTCTCTGTCACCCTGCATAGCACAGAGATAGAGGCCAGAAGTGTTCTGAGAAGGGGACCTCTGGGATACTGGAGGAGGTGGTTTCTCTGGCCACCACTGTGGCCAGCACGTAGGACACAGGAGCTCCCAAAGTAGCATCCACTTCCATATCTCCCTCCTTCTCTCTCTCTCTCCTTCTCTTTCTCTGGGTGGCTGCTTGAGTCTGCCTTGTGCTGCCCTGCTTGCAGGAGGTTTCTGGAGCATTCTGGAGCATTCCTTAGAAGCCTTTTTCTCCATACAGATGGGGGACGAGAGCCCCAGAGTCCAAGAGGGATTGCAGGTCGGTGTCTCAGAAACCCCAGGGCCTTGGGCTGCTCAGTGCCTTGTGTCTCTGGGGCCAGCTGTGATGCAGCTGGATGTCTGCTTCATCTTTTCCAGTCTACTTCTGGCGGGGCCACACAGGGATCAAGTACAAGGAGCCAGTAGAGAGCTGCCCCATGCATGCTGTGCGCTGTGATGGAGTGGTGGACTGCAAGCTGAAGAGTGATGAGCTGGGCTGTGGTAAGCAGGCTGGGCATGGGGAGAGTTGTGCATACACATGTGTGGGCACATATATGTATGTACCCTGGTGACTGAAAACTCAAATGGGAGGCAATGGACAGAGAATCAGCGGATCTGGGTTCTAGCCATGGAAACCTTATGTGTAAAATCTGGCCTTAAGTACTGTGTGACCTGGGCAAACCACTTATCTTCTCTAGGCCTCAGTCTATGTGCCACTCCTCTTTGTCTTGCATGTGACCTCTGACTTTCACCCCTATAGTTTCATGAAGGTAGTTTGTAAATGGCTGGCCCAGATGAGCACAAATGTCATTGAGCTCTGGTTCTCAGTGGCTTTCACAGATGTTTGTGTATAGGCCTGATGTGAATGTCTGTGGGTGCATGTCCCATCCATCCTACCTGTGCATTTATATTTGTCCTGGCCCATGGCTGCAACCATCTGTGATTGAACCTACCTAGTGAACACTCAGTCAGATCATAGACCTTATTCCCCTAGTCAGTCTCTCATTTGGGCATGTCACTGCCCTCTAGGGGTGACAGCTTCTGGCAGTGCCTGCCCCTTCTCCCAAGAATGGTCCCCTGGGTCCTGTTGGATGGAGAGCTCTCTGCCCTGCTCCAGCCCCTCACCTTGGCTCTGCCCTTACTGAGTGTCTTGGGCTTCTAAGCACTGGCTGATGATCACCTCGGGGCCAAGCTCCTGCATATTTTCCAGGCCTCAGCAAGGAGCCTCAGGGCAGGAGCCTCTCAGATTCTTACTCAGTTCATTCCCCCAAAAGTTGAGCTTCCTGAGTGCTGAGGACCTGCTCTGCCCTTTTCTTGCCCTGCAGTGAGGTTTGACTGGGACAAGTCTCTGCTTAAAGTCTACTCTGGGTCATCCCATCAGTGGATTCCTATCTGCAGTAACAACTGGAACAACTCTTACTCGGTGAAGACCTGCCAACAGCTGGGTTTTGAGAGGTAAGACCTCCCCCAGTGTTCTGGCTTCAGGGATGTCTCTGGCTCTTTGCAAAGTGTCTCAGGCTCATTGCAGAAAACTCATATTAAAAAGACTCTTGGGGACCAGAGTTGAGGTCACTAGCTCAGGACACCCTTGAGTTATTCAAAACAATGGTGGCCCTGGGATGGGATCTTAAAGTCTGGGGCAAGCTATTTCCATGAGGCCAAAGTGATTTTTTAGATTTGCAATGGGATCACATTCCCAGATGGTTTTCTGCATCAAAGCACTCTCATGCCCTTTATCATATTTAATGGTCATGGGAGCCCTTTGAGGTGGATAGGCATTTGGTCAGGTCTTGTCTTCTCACTTCTGGGAACTAGAAGCTCAGGCTAAGCAAATCCTTCAGTGGACTTTGAGCTGTAGCAGTTATGGCTTGAGCTAGAACTCATCAGATGGAAACAAAGTAGGCAGGTGTGACCAGATAAAGCCCTAAGGATCTTTGACTCTAAAGATTTTAAACAAAGAAGCTGATGCTGGTAGATGAAGGAAGGATACATGAACAATGACCTTCTGGCTTGAAGGAGTCCCAATTTGCAGGCCATACAGTCATCTCCATTCTCCCTCTTGATTTGTGCTTTCAAAGCAAATAGTTTTGGGGTTCATCAATGTATGCGAGGTTGTGGGAAAAAGGTTTAGGATCTTACTGTGGGCTCTCTGTAGAAGAAGCTCCTAGCAAACCAGGTTGGGGGTCTAGGACTTAGAGCTAGTTCTCTGTGCCCACCTCAGTCTCAGAGTTCCCACCTGTGAAAGGGGAATCTGGGTGGTCTAGTTGGAAGAGCATGGACATTTTTTATCATTAATTATGTGATGTTATGCAAGTCTGAACCTCCCTTGGGCTTCAGTAGATAGTGCCATTTATTCAAAGAATTCAAAGAACATTCATTGAGCTTTCAATATGTGGCACCAGACACAAAGGAACAAGACCAGATCCTGCCCTTAGGGAACCTACAGTATTGTATGGGTGAGAAATGCTTAAACCACTGAGTGTAGCACAATGTCATGTGTAATGACAGAATATGGGTGAAGCTCTGTGTACACAATGGAGAGCATGGCTGACTGCCCTTGGAGGACAGCAGGGGATGTAGGAGCTCCTAGGCAGAGGGAGAGTATACACAAGGGTGTGCTCTCATGCAAGGATGTACGACATTCTAGAAATGCACACAAGTGCCAGGTGCATAGTGGTCCATGGATCAGTCACATCATAATAAGCTGGGGTTTTGTTAAAGTGCATCCGAATTCAGAATCTCTGGGATTGTGACTTAGAACCTCCTTAGCAAACACCCTGGGGTGATTCTTATCATTGTGGTCTGAGATCCAGCAAGTGAGTAAAAGGCTCTCCAACTTCAATGTGCAAACCTCATGTTAATGAGGGTCTTTAAGGTACAGACTCTGGTTCAACAGGTTTAGGGTGCTGCTGCTGGTCCATGGATCATATTTTGGATAGAAAAGGGCTAGATCAGTGTTTCTCAGACTTGAGCGTGCACCTGCATCACCTGGAGAGCCCCTTAAAACACAGAACCAGACTTCCTGATATAATTGGTCTGGGGTAGGGCCCAAGAAGAATTTGCATTTCTGACAAATTCTCAGGTGGTGCTAATGCTGCCAGGTCTTGGCAGGGACCACACTTTGAGAACTAACTGTGCTAACACATAGGGTTGGTGGGGGGCGAGTAGCAGGGGTTATATGGATGGTGCCAGACCTTATGGGGCCTTGACAGTCCCTGGCACCTGTCAGCAGGACTGGCAGGACTCCGATGCCAGCTGGGGGACTGGGGGTGGGCACTATCTCAAGGGAACTCATTCCTCTCCCCCCAATCCCTCCCCTGTCTTCCCTCACAGTGCTTACCGGACGACCGAGGTGGCCTATAGGAACGTGGCCAGCAGTTTCTCAATCTCTGAGTACAACTCTACCATCCAGGAAAGCCTCTACAGGTGTGGAGGGGCAGGCCAGGCTGCCTGTCTGTGAGTAGGGGAATAAGGGGGTCAGGGGGTTTTGAAGTCAGGGGGCCCCTCTCCCTTGGCCTTTCTGGGACCCAGCCTCTAGAAGTCCATCATAAATGTAAGGATCATCCCCAAAACAAAACGCACTCACCACCTGCCTCAAGACTTCTTACTGAGGCTTGGTGCAGAAAACACCTTGGGGTCAGGGATGTTCCCAAAAGTTTATCTGGTGCCAGAGACAGTTAATACATTTTGGGGCCATCAGTTAGCCAGGTGATTAGAATGAGCACGGCTGCAAGGAATGGGCTCAGGGTGGGGAGGAAGAGCAGTAGCAGGGGAGGGCCAAGCGCCTGTGGTCAGGGGCAGGAGGCCTATCTGGGAGGCACTGGCCTCCTCCTGAGCCTCCTCATCACATGTCATCTTTGCATCACAGCCCCGCACTTGTCTCAGCCCCACTGAGGGGGAAGGGTAGCGGCGGGGGGCGGGGCGGGGGCGGGAATCCACCAGCTAGCAGCATTTACCTTGGGAGACAAGAGAGGAAACAAGCCTCCAAAGAAAGAAGGAATGGGAGTCCAGGGAAGTGAATTAGCTGCATCCTGGAAGCCTGCTTCATGCCAGGTGATTTGCATGCAACATTGCTGGTGAGCATCAAGGAACTCTGTCAGTGGAGTGTTAGGCTACCTATTTAGTTGTGGAAAGATGCTGGGGCAACAGTCATAAGTTCAAAGGATGTGAATCTGGACAATGTATGTAATCTGCAACTAGAAAGTCAGGGGTGGGGAGGGGGGAAGAGTGGAAATGGTTTGCCCTGAGCTGTTTCTATTCCTGTAGAAAAAGCACTGGAAGGGTCTGTATCCACTAGGAGGGAGAAGGCCAGAATCTCCATTTTCTTGTGCAAAAGAAATGGCATAGAAACCGAGCAGAATTCAGTGAGGGGAGGCTTCTTAGAGGAGGTGGCTAATGTACCCTTCTCCCACCTTCTGCCTTTCCTCCTTCAGGTCCGAATGCCCTTCCCAGCGGTATGTCTCCCTTCAGTGTTCCCGTAAGAAGATACTCTTCCTCCTGAATTGTGACCTGTGTGGGGTGGGAGTTGGGGGCAAGGTGATGGGACCTCTTTGGGGAAGATGGCTGACCCTGGGGGTCCACCGGGAAGAGAGGCGTAGCCAGCAGGTCTGCTTCAGGGCCAGGATTCCTGTAAGGCACTAGGGCAGTTTGAGCATAGCATTTTCCTTTCTCCTGACCACTCAGCCCGGCAACTTCACTCACAGCAAAGAAGCCATTCAAATCTGGATGCTGGGCAGAGGCAGAGGGCTGGGAGAGCAGGTCTGGGCCTACCTAAAGCTCCTATATCAATAGGCAAAGAACTAGATCTACAATCAATATTTACTGGGTATATTCTCTGTGCATGACACTGTGCCTATTGCGTTTAATTCTCATGAGGCAGTTACTGTTATTGTCCACTAATTAAAAAGAGACAAATGTTTACTTTGCTTAAGGTCAGACCTCTGGTAGGTGAGGAGCTGGTATTTGACCGAGGGTCTAACCCCTAAGCCCAAGCTGTTAATTGGTCCATGAATGTGCTGTGTTCTCAGTAATGATCAGATAGGGGTGCTCCTCTGAGAAGGCCAAGCACACGGTGTTATGGATGGAGTACCCACCCCTCTAGACCACCTCTGGTTCCTTACAAACTCCACAGGCTGCTCTCCTTATCCATGAATTTGGGGGGATGACTCACTCCAGAAAATGCTTGCAAATGTTTCCTGGGATGAATGGTCCCCAACAGCACTAAATATACCCATTGGGGAACCCTGTGGGCACAAACCCACCTGTCCATAATGGGAAATTTATTCCCTCCCCCTCTTTTTTGGGGGGGAGATAATAGATATCTCCATCACAGTACCTATGGGTTATGGTAGAGTTGACCTACTTTCCTGAGCTCCTTGACAGCAGTCCCAAGATTTATCATCATAACCCTAATGCCTTGCACAATATCAGGCACTTAGTAAGCATTTGTTGAATATTTGAAAGAATGAATGAGTAAGAGCCAAGAGGAAATTGCCTAGGATCAAACTTCCCACTGGATGATCCCAGAAAGCTAGCCACCATGTAGGGCTTCTGCTTTGGAGGAAAGAGCTGTGCCATATCAGATTAAGTGAGCAAAGTGGTGTCCACGGGTGGGTGTGTGCCCTCACTGCCTGAGCCTGCTCTGGGCCCCGGGAGCATGGCAGGACTGTGAGAGAAGCAGAGCTCATGGTTCATCTTTTCTGCTTCCCCCCCTTCCAGACTGTGGACTGAGGGCCATGACGGGGCGAATCGTGGGAGGGGCACTGGCCCCAGAGAGCAAATGGCCTTGGCAAGTCAGTCTACACTACGGCACCACCCACATCTGTGGGGGCACACTGATCGACACCCAGTGGGTGCTCACTGCTGCCCACTGCTTCTTTGTGTAAGTGCCCGAAGGGGCGGGTGATGTGATGCTGTTGGGGGTTCCAGATCACCAGGAAGGGCTGATGGCAGACTGGCTTCCTTCTCCACAAAGGTGGGCTTTGTGTGAGTCTCCCCGTCCTCTCTGCAGTGGGTCAGGTTGCCCTGGCCATGCTTTGCAGTAGGTACTTTGTCCTGGGGGTGTGAGTTGGCAGTACTTGTTCTGAGTTAGGCCCAGAATGAGAAAAAGCTTTTATTGGATGGTCCCTAGGGAGTGAGGCAGGCAGGAGGAAGGACTTGGGAGCCTACCCCTGAAGAGCAGGCTAAAATAAAGAGGCACTGGGTTTGTTGCTGCTCGTTCCTGTATCTGGAATTTATAGGAGAGAAGCCCAAGAAATCCGGACCACTGTCCCAGGAACTGAGGGTTGGGGATTGTGGGGAGGGGCTGCAATGCAGCTAGCTTCTGAGTCACCAGCCAGGCTTGTCCCTGTGAGCTGGTGGGCAGGAAAAGGCTCTGGAGAACAGGCCTCAGGGGTACTGGCTCACCCAGTATTGTCTTCAGCGGGTGACTTTGTCCTGTCCAAAACTGTTTCTGCTGAGGATAATAATACTGAGATGTGTACTGGCCACCTTATTTGATCTTTAGTGGCATGCAGAGGAGGCAGTGGGGTGACTGCTCACAGAGATCCTACTCATCTCCTCCCCCTTTCTATTGTAAGGTGCAGAGCAGCCAGTTTAGAATGGCTTTTTGGAGTCTGGGAATTGTTTTGGACCCCTGGTTAAGATGGAGGGCTCCCTCGGGAGGTCATTTTATCCATCCCCCTGCCTCTGAACTGCTCAGAGGGCAGCTTTGTGTGGAGCACATGCTGCCAGTGGGCTCTTCCAGGCAGGTAACTGCATCATGCTCTCCTGTGGCTCTTGCAGGACCCGGGAAAAGGTCTTGGAGGGTTGGAAGGTGTACGTGGGCACCAACAACCTGCATCAGCTGCCTGAGGCAGCCTCCATCTCCCAGATCATCATCAATGGCAACTACACTGATGAGGAGGATGACTATGACATTGCCCTCGTGCGCCTCTCCAAGCCCTTGACCCTGTCTGGTGAGTGAATCAATTCCTGTCGCACCCCATTCCGGCTCATCCTGGCAGCCCTTGGGGCCCAGCCCTTGCACTTGGTAGCGTCTGTCAGCCCATCTTGGGGTCCCAGAGCTTCAGTATGGTGGGAGTCAGCTCAGAGATCACTTAATGGAACATCTCTATTTTATGATTAGGGAAACTGAGGCCCAAAGATTGGAAATATTTTAATAGGTTTGCCCCAAATGACACAACTTACATTGCAAGTTGGTGAGAGAGCCAGGGCTTGAAGACAATATACTCAATATAAATAGATTAAATTTTTTCACTGGTATTCATTGAGCACTTAACAGGGGCCAGACACTGTGGTAGGCATAGTGCATCTATGATTTCATTTACTCTTCACAACTAATCCTGTGGAGCAGGTACTATTATTAGCTTCAGTTTATGTAAGAGGAGATGGAGCTTTAGAGAGAGTATCACCAGAGGCCACGGAGTAGTAAGTGGCAACTCCAGGTCGGTACAATTCCCAAACACGGCTCCTCCCACTCAGCTCTTGGCTGGCAAGTTGCTAACACTGCAGCTGAGAACACAAGACGAGTTGCATTCAAACAACCAATTGCCATGAGGCTGGAGCTAAGGACCAAATGAAGCTGCACAGAGGAAACACTACCAAAGTTCTCAGGAGGAGACCAAAGAAGGCTTCATTCATTAATTCATTCACACATTTGTTCACTTATCAAATATTGAGTGTCTAATTTTTAGTGGGCTCTGGAGTTCCAATTGCAAGTGCAACATGGTGGGTGACAAACACAAAGACAGCCAGTGGGGGCCAGTGATGAAATGTGGAGGGGGGTTGGGGGCTCTGGGGGAACCCAGGTGGTTCAGATGGGGGCAAGTAATTAGTCTTGGAGGATAGGGAGTTTTTCCTGAGGCAGGATAGCTAAAGTGGAAGGGTCTCTGGTTAGTCCAGCCTTTTTATGCTCTGGGCCTATCAGCTGGTCTTTCCTGCCACCTTAATTATGGAGGCGGTGTCAGTGAGTCAGGCTATTTAGTTAGCTCCTCAGACTGGTGTGAGGAGGAGGAAAACTTGGCAGAGCTTAGTAGGCCAGGGCTGTCCCAGAACTACACCCACCTGAACCACGCCCACTAGTGGACAAGACCTCTGTCTTCCTCCTGCTCCCTCCAGCCTTGTCTGTGGAGCCTGGGACTGTAAAGTAAGAGGTGGCCCCCTGCTCCTGGCCTGACCCTCATGCACATATGAAAGGGAGCAGTTAGTCTGTGGGACCAGAACAGACCTTTCCAACCTTTTAAAACCATCTCCACACTCTGATAAGCCCCTGTGCAGGAATCACAGGTCATGTTTAAGTAGTCCTGTGGTCAGACCATGTGACCTGACTTTTGGTTTAGAAATCAGGGCATATTTTCTTCTTATACTCGTATGGCAAGTCAGGCACTTTAAAGACACAGAACTATCTGAGAAAACTTGTGAAAACTCACTGGTAAATTTAATTTCCCCATAAAAATAGTGAAATATATAACAGTTACCTTAAGACTCTGTCACAAAAATAGGCGTAAAATGTTTTAAGAAGTCATGTTTTGCATTTTTTGTTAATTAATCGATACTATCCCTTCATTTATTTTTTTTTTTACTCTCTAGCAAACAAGTATGTTAGTACCAAGAGTTAAAGCCCAATTTATAGGAGAATTTAACATTCATTTCCCTCCCTCCTTCTCTCTCCCTCTTATTTTAAGTACATTTTATTGATTATTTGTCCCAATTTTTCCCCCCTTTCACCCCTCTGCCTGGTATCCCTCTTCCCTCTAGCAATCCCCCTCATTAGTTCATGTTCATGGGTCATGGACGTAAGTTCTTCGATTACTCCATTTCCTATACTGTTCTCAATATCCCCCTGCTATTTTTTTCCTACCAGTTATGCTTCTTAATGCCTGCACCTATTCCCCTATTCTCCGCCTTTGTCCTCCTAGCTCATAACCCTCCAACTGATCTACATACCTATGGGTCTGTTTCTGTTCTGGTTGTTTGCTTAGTTTGTTTTTTTAGATTCAGTTGTTGATAGTGGTGAATTTGTTGCCATTTTGATGTTCATGGTTTTGATCTTCTTCTTTTTGTTAAATAAGTCCCTTTAACATTTCATGTAACAATGACTTGGTGATGATAAACTCCTTTAGCTTGTCCAGGAAGCACTTTATCAGCCCTTCCATTCTAAATGATAGCTTTGTTGGGTAGAGTAATCTTGGTTGTAGGTCCTTGCTTTTCACCACTTTGAACACTTCTTGCCAGTCTCTTCTTCCTGCAAAGTTTGTTTTGAGAGATCAGCTGACAGTCTAATGGGAATGCCTTTGTAGGTAACTCTCTGCTTTTATCTTGCTGCTTTTAGGATTCTCTCCTTTATCTATAACCTTCAGCATTTTAAATATGATGTGTTTTGGTGTGGTCCTCCTTGGGTCCAATTTATTTGAGACTCTCTGTACGTCCTGGGCTTGTATGTCTATTAGCTTCAGCAAATTAGGGAAGCTTTCTTTTATTATTTTTTCAAATGAGTTTTCAATTTCTTGCTCTCCCTTTTCTCCTTCTAGCATCCCTATGATTTAGATGTTGGCACTTTTGGAAATGTCCCAGAGTCTTCTACTCTCCTCATTTTGTTTTGAATTCTTGTTTCTTCATTCTGTTCTGGTTGAATGTTTACTTCTTCCTTATGTTCCAAATTGTTGATTTGAATCCCAGCTTCCTTCCCTTCAGGTTTTGTTCTCTGTAGGTTTTTCTTTATATCACTTAGTGTAGCCTTCATTTCTTCCTTTATGTTTTTGCTATACTCAATGATTTCTCTGAGCATCTTTATCACCAGTGTTTTAAATTCTGCATCTGATAGGTTGGCTATCTCCATTTTGTTTAGGTTTTTTTTTTTCCCCCTGGGGTTTTGTTCTGTTCTTTCATTTCAGTCATATTTCTTTTCTTTCCTTTTTTTTTTTAATCATCATAGTTTTATCTAGCTAGCTAGCTATCATTTATTTCTCGCTCTCTTTTTATTGTTCAAATATATTTGTCTCCATTTTGTGACCACTACTTTCCCCTGCCCCTTCCACCCTCAATCCTTCTTCACTTTGGTTGTGTCCATGGGTCCATTATACATTTTCCTTGACTTGATTCTTCCCCTTCTTTTCCCTGTTATCCCCCTGCCTTCTCCCCTCTCATTACTGTTGGTTTGTTTTTTCTTTCAGTGGTGCTGGTTATATTTTTCTTGCTTGTTTGTTTTGTTGATTAGGTTCCACTTATAGGTGAGATCATATGGTACTTGCTTTTCACCCCCTGGCTTATTTCACTTAGCATAATGCTCTCCAGTTCCATCCATGCTGTCATGAAGAGTAGGAGCCCTTTCTTTCATTCTGCTGTGTACTTGTGTAAATGTACCATAGTTTTTTGATCCACTCATTTATTGATGGGCACTTAGGTTGCTTCCAGCACTTGGCTATTTTAAGTTGTGCTGTTATGAACATTGGGGTGTATAGTCTGAATTGGTGTTTTGGGATTATTAGGGTATAATCCCAGCAGTGGAATTGCTGGGTCAAAAGCCAGTTCTATCTTTAGTTTTCTGAGGCAATTACATACTGTTTTCCACAGTGGCTGCACCAGTCTGCATTCCCACCAACAGTGGACTAGGTTGTTTATGATGGCCATTCTGACCAGTGTGAAATGGTATCACATGGTGGTTTTAATTCGCATTTCTCTGATGGCAAGCGATGCTGAGCATCTTTTCATGTCCCTGGGCCCTGTGTGTGACCTACTTGGAGAAGTGTCTGTTCAGGTCCTTTGCCCATTTTTTTTAAATTTTATTTTAGTTTATTTTTTCAAATACATTTGTCTCTGCCTCCCCCCTACCACTTTCCCTTGCCCCCTCCCTCCTTCCCTCCCTCAGCTCTTCCCCTTTGGTTTTGTCCATGAGTCCTTGCCCATTTTTTTATTGGATTGTTTGTCTTTCTGGAGTGGAGTTGTATGAGTTCTTCATGTATTTTGGAGATCAAACCCCTGCCTGAGGTGTCATTGGCAAATATATTTTCCCATACAGTTGGTTCCCTTTTCATTTTGCTGATGTTTTCTTTAACCGTGCAGAAGCTTCTTATTTTGATGACGTCCCATTTGTTTATTCTTTCCCTTATGTCCCTTGCTCTAGGGGACATATCAGTAAAAATATTGCTGTGTGGAATATCTGAGAGTTTCCTGCCTATGTTCTCCTCTAGGACTTTCATGGTGTCATGATTTATATTTGACTCTTTTATCTATCTGGAGTTTATTTTTGTGTATGGTGTAAGTTGGTGGTCTAGTTTCATTTTTTGCATGTAGCTGTCCAGGTCTCCCAACACCATTTGTTGAAAAGGCTAATTTTACTCCATTTTATGTTTCTGCCCTCTTCGTCGAATATTGATTGACCATAGAGATATGGATTTATTTCTGGGCCCTCTATTCTGTTCCATTGATCTATGTGTCTGTTCTTATGCTAGTACCACACTGTTTTGATTACAGTGACCTTGTAATATAGTTTGATGTCTGGTATTGTGATCCCTCCTACTTTGTTCTTTTCTCTCAAAATTGCCGCAGCTATTTGGGGTCATTTATGGTTCCATATAAATTTTTGAAATGTTTGTTCTATATCTGTGAAATATGTCATTGGTATTTTAATAAGGATTGCATTAAATCTACGAACTGCTTTAGGTAGTATGGACATTTGGATGATGTTATTTCTTCTAATCCATGAACACGATATATGCTTCCATTTATTTGTGTCTTCCTTAATTTCTTTCTTCAGTGTTGTGTAGTTTTCTGAGTGCAGGTCTTTTACCTCCTTGGTTAAGTTTATTCCTAGGTACTTTATTTTTCTTGTTGCTATAGCAAGTGGGATTTTTTTTCCTGATTTCTGTTTCCGATATTTCATTGTTGGTGTACAAAAATGCCTTTGATTTCTGAATATTGACTTTGTATCCCGCTGTTTTACTAAATTCACTTATTA